TACAGCCCAGATCTGAACTTTACATATTAGTCTTCTCACCCACTAGAGGCTGCTTTTTAAATCTAAAGCCAGGGCTTTATTAATTATCATTAGTTCAGAGTGTGCAAGTTAAATGACATGTTCTACAGAGCAGGGCCAGACCAGGGGCAATGCAAGGTGTATACAGTGCTGCTCTCATTCAGAATTCTGCCGGGGTGGTTAGCTGGAAATTGGTATCTAGAGCACCATACAATACTAACCTGACATTTGCCAAAATGATACGCTAAGATAGGGAATCCCTTTTTTTGGGCTCCAGCCTCATTAATGAAGTGGTCTTTACAGACTACAACGTGTGACCTCCAAAATAATTTCTTCTCCCACCACAGGCTGTACAGGTATGGAATATATTGCTGGAAACTGGAGATGAATGTACACTGCAACATACAGAGTTTGTTTGGGGAGGGGGGGGAGAAATCAGGCTAAATATTGATAGGCATAAAGAACATAAACTGCATCCTTGGATGGTATACTGCTGCATTATAATCTGTAGAATAATTTGCAAGTTAAAGCTTTCTGTACTCTCTACTTGTATAAAGACTAGGGATGTAAGCAACTAGTCGATTAACCAGTAATCCTAGGTTTATCAAGTAGTCAAGTTACTACTTGACTAGTTGCTTTGCTCCCCTTGCTGCCTCTGTATCAGAGACAGCAAGGGTGGGGAGCAGGAGCCGATGCTGGGGGGAGCTGGCTTAAAGCTGGTTCCCCTCAGCATCATCTCTGTGGAGGACAGGGAGGGCAGCTGCATGGGGGAGGGGAGGAAGGAGAGAGAACAACTCAAGCTGGGACTAAGCAGTCCCAGCTTGCACTGTGTCTCACGCACTGTGTCTCTGCTTTTTAAATGTAGTAAGATCTGTCTGGACTGGGCAGGTGCTGGGACTCAGCTATCTCAGCTTGTGTCTGGAAAGAGATCTTGGAGTTATATGGACAGTTCTCTGAAAACTTCCACGCAGTGTGCAGCGACAGTCAAAAAGGCAAATAGGATGCTAGGAATTATTAAGAAAGGGATAGAAAATAAGACAGAATATCTTACTGCCCCTGTATAAAACTATGGTACGCCCGCATCTTGAATACTGTGTACAGATGTGGTCTCCTCACCTCAAAAAAGATATTTTGGCCTTGGAAAGGGTTCAGAAAAGGGCAACTAAAATGATTAGGGGTTTGGAACGGGTCCCATATGAGGAGAGGTTAAAGCGACTGGGACTTTTCAGTTTAAAAAAGAGGAGACTGAGGGGGGATATGATAGAGGTCTATAAAATCATGACTGGTATTGAAAAAGTATCTAAGGAGAAGTTATTTACTTATTCCCCCAATATAAAAACTAGGGGTCACCAAATGAAATGAATAGGCAGCAGGTTTAAAACAAACAAAAGGAAGTTTTTCTTCACAGGGTGCACAGTCAACCTGTGGAACTCTTGTAGTCAACCTGTGGAACTCCTTGCCAGAGGAGGCTGTGAAGGCTAGGACTATAATAGAGTTTAAAGAGAAGTTAGATAATTTCATGGAGGTTAGGTCCATAAAAGGCTATTAGCCAGGGGATAAAATGGTGTCCTTGGCCTCTGTTTGTCAGAGGCTGGAGAAGGATGGCAGGAGACAAATCTCTTGATCATTGTCTTCGGTCCACCCCTCTGGGCTAGATGGACCTTTGGTCTGACCCAGTATGGCCATTCTTATGTTATGTTGGTCCTAGACCGCTGCAGCCCTGCTTTATAAATGTAGCTAAAAAGCAGAGCTGCAGAGAACTCCCTTATTGACTAATTGAGTAGTCGATGTAAATTTAATTGCCAATTCCATTGGCTCTCTAACCGCTATTTAACATCCCTAATAGAGACTTTTTTTTTTTAAATAGAAGACCTACCGTGCCATGTATGACTACATGGCAGCTGATGCTGATGAAGTTTCCTTCAAAGATGGGGATGCAATTGTAAATGTCCAAGCTATTGATGAAGGCTGGATGTATGGGACTGTACAGAGGACTGGCAAGACTGGCATGCTTCCAGCCAATTATGTAGAAGCTGTCTAAATGAAAATTTGGTCTTCCATAAAGCATAGCTACATGGTCAAAATACACAGGCACTTTGTATTCACCACAAGTCAGACTAACCACTCTCAAGTAAACACTTTCTAAGTGTTGTTTTCCTTACCTGATGTTATCTTATGAATTGTCATACTGGGAAAAAAAATAGAACAAAATGTTTAAAAAACACATTTACAAGTCATTGCTGATATAGAATGTTTGCTAACATGCTATTAGTCCCCAGAGAAGCATTCTTCTAAACTATCCATTTAGGCCTAGACTTGCTTATAAAAACCTATCTTCCTTGAGTTATTTTTATGCAAGCAAAATTGACACACACAAAAAAAGAATGTGTCTTTCAGATGTGAAATTCAACTGAATTCCAAGCATTCAGATTTAAGTCTACAACTTTCTTGGTATTCCGATCATGAACCCTAGGATTTTTCTATGCTGTTCTAAAAATGTTTGAATATATTTATTGTTCCAAGTAAGTAACATGTAAACATAACATCTCAAACCAGCCAAAAGTAACCTGGAAAAAGCCTCTCCTCTCTTCTGCTTGCTGAGCGCTGATGCATGTGTTTTTCATCTAATAATTGTGGTGGAGTCAGAATGCTATTTCCTTGTAAATTAGTGACTACTAAGTTCACATTTCTGCAGTATGATTGATGCATTAATTTCAGATCATGAGCAGTGAAAATCTGCATATTAAACAATCTTGCTACAAAACAATCTTGTCTGAAAATCCTTGAATATGCATATTCAAAGTTATTTATTCCACTGTTACATGATTTTAAGCAGAATTCAGAAAAGAAATGGGCATGTATTCACGTGGATAATGAAAACTTCAGTTATGTTAGATAAGACTTTTTTTTAAACCAACAAGTTTAAAAGGCATGTGAAAAACACAAAAATGCTTCAGGGCATTAGATATCCTCTGAGGAACTTCAGAAGAAATTATGGGCAAATTAATTCTCAACTTCCCTCTTATGTGTTTTTCACACATTCTAAGCATTTAATGCTGGCCCATCAAGCAGTATACTGTTGTACAGGTACTTGTGATCTAATGGCCCAATGGGAACATTTCTATTTCCATTTATCAGCAGGTTAAATTTTACAAAGAAGTGGTCTGAGTGGCCTGGCTAACGTCTGTGAAAGACTGAAGTCTCTCCTTTGTGTGCCTTGTATATTTTCAGCACAAACTCACTCATGTTCTGGGAACCATTGGTTTTCAGTTGCCACACCAGGACATCATGGTCCTGGAAAACGGAGCTGTCTTACCAATACTTTCCTTTCTGCTGTCTCTCGAAATTCTTGATGTCTGGACTGCAGCTCATGGAGGCAGTTTTGGAGCCACACAGCCTGGCCGTGCCCCTTCAGCTCACTCCAAGAGGAGTTGTTCTTCAAGTTGTGTCCCCGTGGGTGCTCCACTGTTGGTGACTGATCATCCCTGGAGCTGCAGATCAGAGCTTTTCAGAGCAGTTAACCTCATGTGCATGCGGCCCATGCCCCCTGCTTCAGTTCCTTGGTTACCGCCCTTTCTTGCCTCAAGCATTTCTTTTCAGATTATTTTCCCTCGAATGTAGTAGTTTTATTAATTCTAGTGTTTTTATAACTATAAATATTTATTGCTCCGTTTGAGGTGCCCCAGGGTCACAGACAGGTGGCACTTGCCCCAGGCAAACCATCCTCTCCCCATCCCCCCATTCCATTGTACATTAAAAAAAAAAAAAAGCAGAAACGAACAAACCAGAGCAACAAGGAAAGATGGAAGTAAAAAAGATTAACTGCCATATAAACAAACCACAGTCACACCAGCAACACAATTCCAGGCTCACTGGGGTTTAAGAAATCCGAGGCATGTGGGGATCCCATTCCCGTTTCTCAAGGACACCCATCATACATATGCTGTTTGAATGAGGCTCACTTACCACAAAAGTGTGAGCACTGTCACAGTCTTACCCTGAGAGCCAGAAAGGACATGGAGCTTTGGCTCCACATGATTCTATTTGAAAAGGCTATGCAGCCTGCAGGGAGGCTAATAAGAAAAGGGCTGCTTCTCCACCGCAAAAGTGCCCAGGGAAGAGACCCTCCCTGTGAGGTCCCTTCCACCTACCCCGTCTCCGAGGGTTAGCAAGGGAGATGAACCTGGCACCTCTGGGACAGTGGTGCTGAGACCACCCTTCAGCACTGCCTCCGTTGCTGCACGTAATGCCTCGGTGCCGACTGGAGACATCTCAAAGGTAATCCCCGGCACTGGGGCTAGCATGTGACCCGGTGCTGACTAAGAGTTCAGCACAGCTGCCTAAGCTTCCAGATTGCAAACCACTGGTTCTGGCTCTCACAGAGCCAACACCTGACACAATGCTCCCCCGTCGGGAATCCCAGCATGTGTCAAGGAGCTGTTGCATGACTGCCGATTGGCATCACTTGAACTCCCTTACCTCTCCCACTGGCATAGGGTAGCGACAGACCCCCATCCCTCTGTCAAGAGAGCCACCTCACGTTTTTCTCCATATGCCTCACCAAGATTAGTGAGCTCTCCTGGGCTGTCAGAGGGCATGAGATTTAAAGAAGACCATTTTCTCTTCACAACACTCCTCTCCGACCACATCTAGGCATTTCTACTATCACTGTAACAAATATCACTCCACATGTTACTTGGACTGGCCATACCCCCCTCCAGACTACCCACCCTACTGGCAACCATGGAAACATTGGGATTCTCAGAGGTGCCACTCCAGGCTCCTTCCAGCCCAGCGAGAAGACCTCGCCATCCTCCCCCCACTTCACATTCCCAACCACAATTGATTTGGAGGAGGAAGAGTGTCAGATCCCTGATGAAAAGACTGACACACAAACCCCTGCGTGTTCACCTAATGACAACTCATCTTCGCTACCTGATAAAGTGGTTATTCCAGAGGATACATAACCCTCAGATAATCTCAAACAATTCCAAGAACTTTTTAAGAGTGGCCAGCTGCTACTCACCAGCTACAACTATAGGAGGTTAAGGAAAAGCAACACCATCTCCTTAAACATATCTGGCCCACCTCTCGAGGAATGAGGCTATTATGGAGGTATCGGATGAGATATGTCAGACTCCATCTTCTATCCAACAAAACTGTAAAAGAACAGATAAAAAGTATTTCATAACTCCTAAAGATCTTTCCTCTTCTCTCATTCGCAGCCCAACTCACTAATAATGGACACCACCAATAATCAATCCAGAATTCCACAATTTATATCCACACCTGTTGACAAAGAACATAAAAAGTTGGATCTGTTTGGCAGGAAAGTATGTTCCTCTGCCACACTACTGACTAGAATCACAAACTATTCAGCGCTGCTAGCGAATCATGACTTCAATAACTACTCTAAGCCAGTTGAGTTAATGGAACATCTCCCGGACTCCAAGAGACCTATCCTTAAGGCAGTCACTCATAAAGGCCACACTTTCGCCCACACAGCTCTTCAGTCCTCTCTTGATGTGGCAGATATGGCTGCTAGAGCGACAGCTATGGCAATCGTCATGCGATGGGCTTCGTGGCTTCAGGCAGCGGGAGTGTTGAAGGAACTGCAGTCCAAGGTGGAGGACCTCCCCTTTGACAAGGGGAGAAATTCTTTGCAGCCAAGATGGATGATGTCCTACATAGCAGCAAAGACTCCAGAACTACTTTAAGGACACTAGGCATGTCTACCCCACCATATCACAGGAAGCGCTACACACCTTATAAAAGAAACAAGGACAGCTATTTCAATTGTCCACAGCAGACTGAAACATGACTTCAGATGAAACAGCTTGCACCCCCAGCTCCTTGGGCTCCCAGGCTGCCAAGCAGCAGATTTGAGAATTTGATTGAGGGTCTGCCCAACCTCCCCAATCTCTCAGCCTGTGGATGAAAAGATGGCACTGACTTGTTGGCACTATGTCCTTTCCTCCATCACTGGGACTCTAACATTAGACCAGTGGGTGTGGCAGATCATTCTTACAGGATACACTATCCACTTCATTTCACTACCTCCCACCCCATCCCTCTTGGGCAAGAAATCGATTGTCTCCTCCATCTAGGAGCAATAGAGAGGATCTCAGATATGTTCAGAGGAAGAGGTTTCTACTCCAAATACTTCCTTTCTGAGGAATGCACAGGGGGTTGGAGACCAATTTTGTATCTACACAACCTGAACAAGTCTCTGAATGGTTCAAGATGGTCACATTGACTGCTATTATCCCAGCACTGGATGAGAGGGATTGGTTCATAGCCTTCAACCTACAGGATGTTCATTTTCCTGTGGCAATACATCCCTTCCACACACACTTCCTCAGATTCACTGTGGGCAAGGACCACTTCCAATACAAGATCCTCCCCTTTGGACTTTCTTCGGTCCCTCAGATCTTTTCAAGGATCCTGGTGGTGGTAGCTGCTTACCTCACATAGCAAGGTGTGATCATCTTCCTGTATCTGGATGACTGCCTGATAAAAGGACCACCCCATGTGGACACCGCCACTATGGTATTCAGGACCAGACACCGTTTTCAGCTTCTAGGCCTACTGATAAACGAACACAAGTCCACCCCACAGCATGTTCAAGTCATAGAATTTATTGGGGCCTGCCTCAATTCCTTGTTGGCTCAAGCTTACCTTCCATGTCACCGTTTTGATGTGCTGGTATAAGTTTTTTTCACAAGCTCCTCAACTACCATACTTACCTGCCTCAGACTTATGGGCCACATGGCCACCACTACTTACGTTGTACAGCATGTGTGATTCCACTTTTGTGCCTTACAGCATTGGCTAACAACAGAATACAAGCTGTCCTGCCACCCACTCCACAAAGTAGTCACTGTCCCCAAAAGTGTTTTGCATTCTCTCAAATGGTGGACATCATCTGACAGTCTCCTAGCTGGGGTCCCCTTCCACCAGCCCGAGTCAGTGGTGCAGATCACCACGGATGCCTCCCTGCTAGGCTGGGGTGCCCACCTACACCATCACACCATCCAGGGCAGCTGGCTCCCCCACGAAACAGTACTACACATCATCTCTCTCAGTGCGCACTCAATAACAAGTAGGACGTCTTCCTGTCACCCTCCTATTTGTGGATCCATAGATGGCTGACCAGCCTAATTCTGGAGCCGTAGGTCTTATCACAGAAGGGGTAGGTGCCTGTGGCTATTGGAGGGTCATGGGGCAGTTTTTGCTGCTCTTTCCTCTTTCTCTGCCTCTCCTCATCTGCACTGTAGCGGGACCTCTCAAATTATGCCACCCCCTCATGGATTACTGCTGTCCACTGGGGACAGTCCTGGGTAAGGTTCTTCCAAGTGTTGCCACAGATGCTACACTTTTTCATGCTTGCCTTCAGCATGTCCTTAAATCGCTTCCTCTGGCCCCTCAATGCTCCTCCATCCTTTGTTCAGCTTGGAAAACAGAATCTGTTTTGGGAGGAGCTGATCAGGCATCTGAACCATGTGACCAGTCCAGCGAAATCATTGGTAGATGATAACTAATGCTGGTCATGTTCCATTCTTCCAGGATGCTAGTATTCGTGCTCCTATCCTCCCAAGAGCTATTTAGAATTCTCTTGAGGCAATGTTGATGATATTGTTCAAGTGCCTTCAGGTGACTCTTACATGTTGTGTAGGTTTCACATGTGTACAGCAGTGTTGGAACAATCACTGTGTGGTACACAAGGAGCTTTGTCTTGGCACTGATGTCCTGGTTCTCAAAGACCCT